CACTATATGCACATGGTTTACATATGTACATTTGGGCAAAACATATAAAAACCCTTGTATGTCTTATCTGACTGCAGAGGAAGTGTCCTACTGCTCATCATTGGATGTTCCTCTACCGCATTATGGCCTGAATGTTTGAAACCTCCATATTTCATGTGTTGAAACTCTTAATTTATTTTTATTGAAATCAAGAGACAAAGAATGATCAGTTTTCTTGGTAGCTATACTCCTGAGTTCCATTTCGGGGAAAAATGTTCTCAAGTGTACACTATGCTAATTTCCTGATATATTCAAGACAATATTTCAGGGCATTTCTAAACAGACACACTACAAAAGGAGTTAGGATTGACCTGGTTATGAAGGTAGGGGATTGGGCTGGAGAGATGGCTCAGGGGTTAAGAGCACTGGCTGTTCTTCCAGAGGTCCTGAGTTCAATTCCCAGCAACCACCATGGTGGCTCACAACCATCTATAATGAGATCTGGTGCCCTCTTCTGGCCTGCAGACATACATGCAGGCAGAACACTGTATACATAGCAAATAAATCCTTCTTTAAAAAAAAGATTTATCTGGGGGGCGGGAGGAAGGAGAAGGATCTGTGGTTGGTATGTAAAATGAATAGAAAATTTATTAATAAAAATTTTAAAAAATGAAGGTGGGGGATTGCCTGTCATACACAAAGCTCTGGGTTTAGTCCTCAGTGCTACGTTTTGTACCCATCTCATCCCAGCACCAGGGAGATGGAGACAGGAGGATCAAAAGTTGGGTCTTAGCCGGGTAGTGATGGTGCATGCCTTTAATCCCAGCACTCAGGAAGCAGAGCCAGGTGGATCTCTGTGAGTTCAAGGCTGACCTGGTCTGTAGAGCAAGTTCCAGGACAGGCTCCAAAGCTATAGAGAGAAACCTGTCTCGAAAAACTGAAAGGAAAAAAAAAAAAAAGAATAGTTAAAGCACTCTTGAAGAAGGATCAGAATAGATGCTTCACACTGGTTTAGTTTAAACTTACTACATATGGAGTTTATTTGGGTTGGGAAAGTGACTTAGTGGCTAACACCACTTGCTGTTCAAGCGTGAGGACCTGAGTTCAGTAACAAGCACCCACCTATAAAATTGAACTTGGCCACACATGCTTGTGACCCCACTGTTGAGGGTGGAGATTCACTGGATAGCTGTATACCCTACCCCAGGTGGTAAGCTTCCAGCTCAGTAAGAGATCTTTAAGGTTTTTCAAAATGTGTATGAATGTTTATCCTCCATGTGTGTATGTGCACCATATGCATGCATTGTCTGCAGAGAACAGAAGAGGGCATCAGATCCCCAGGAACTGGAGTTAGAGACAGTTGTGAGCCACCATGTGGGTGCTGGAAATGGAACCTGAGTCCTGGAAGAGCAGCAAGTGCTCTTTTTTTTTTTTTTTTTTTTTTTTTTTTGGTTTTTCGAGACAGGGTTTCTCTGTGTAGCTTTGCGCCTTTCCTGGAACTCGCTTTGGAGACCAGGCTGGCCTCGAACTCACAGAGATCCGCCTGCCTCTGCCTCCCAAGTGCTGGGATTAAAGGCGTGCGCCACCACCGCCCGGCTAGCAAGTGCTCTTAATAGCTGGCCATCTGTCTCTCCTGAGAAACCTTGTCTAAAAGGAATAAGGTGAACAGAAATAAAGGGAGACACCCAACTGGCCTCCTCTAGCTTCTGCATACACAGGTATGGATATATATCCACACAGTCCATGTGTGTGTACCATATACACACCCCAAAAATAAATAGTTAAATTTAAATAGTTGAAATGGCCAAGCATGGTACTGGCACATACCTATAATGCCAGCTCTCTAGACATCGAAGCAGAGTTTAAGGGCAGCTTGGGCAGTTGTCATGCTCTTGAGATTTTGCTATAAAAATACACAGAATTAGATGAAGCTACAGTAATCAAGACAGTGTGGTAGTACCCTAAGGGTAGATTTCTGAAGTGGTGAGACAGTGAGAATCCAGAAGTACACATCTAAAATTAGTGGATTTCAATAGAAGCATCATGGCCATTCAGTGGGGAGGTGAATCTTTCTAACAAGTGGTGCTAGGTTGCTATGTGTAAAATTGGATTTCCATGTACAAAAGTTAACTCAAACCAAAGTTCTAATTGTAGGTACTACAATAAAAACAAGCAGACATAGGTAGCAATCTCCATGAATCTGAGTAGGCTGTGGCCTTTTGCTTATGACACTACATTTCTGAACAATAATATCATTGAATTTTAAGAAAATTAGCCTTTGTTTGTCCCCCATCATATACCACTATCAGAAAAGTGAATACAAGATGGCTGGCGTGGTAGCACATGCCAGTAATCCAGCCTTTACAAGACTTGCAGGAGGATCTTAAGTTTGAGGCTAGCCTTAGCTTTATAGCCAGACCTAGTTGATTGATTGATTGATTGATTGATTGATTGGTAGGTAAGTAGATGATAAATGATAGATGGATGGATTGATGGGTGGGTGGGTGGGTGGATGGATAGAGAGAGAGATTGATTGGTAAGTAGATTGGTATATAGTTGATAGAAAATTAGAAGCTACAAGCTGAGAGGGGAAAAAAGATGCAAAGTATGCATCCAGTTTAAGGAATCCAAGTAAGGACTATCATCCAAAATATACAACGCTCTCTCTCTCTCTCTCTCTTTGTCCAGTGGCGCTTTGGGATCAAACCCAAGCCCTTATTGCATGACCAGGCAAGATCCATTCCTCTGTGTTTTATCCTCAGGCCACAAAGAACTCTTAAAACTCAGTAAGAAAATGAGCAGCCCTGTTCAAAAATAGGCAAAGTTCCTGAACTGACATCTTGTCAAACAGGAAATACACACCTGAAAGGCACTAGGTGGTGTGTGTGTGTGTGTGTGTGTGTGTGTGTGTGTGTGTGTGTGTGTGTGTGTGACCTTAAAGTAAGGACAAGGTGCAGCACAAGTGCTAGCTGGGCCTTGGAGCAGCAAGAACTTGACTTCGTTGCTGGGGAGCATGCAGTTTCTTACAGAACTAAATATACTCTAACCACACACATCTACATCAGTTGTATTTCCCAACCTAGATGTGAGCAGCATTTACTTTAGTAGGGACTGGTTAAGCTGGTACATACAGACAATAGAGTATTTAAGATATTGCTAAAAAAGACATTACTCACCAAAGGTAGTGGTAAATGCCTTTAATCCCAGCACTTGGGGGGCAGAAGTAGGCGAATCTCTGAGTTGGAGGCCAGCCTGGTCTAAAGAGTGAATTCCAGGACAGCCAGGACTATTACACAGAGAAACTCTGCTTATACCTATAATTTCAGCACTAGGTTGATGTAATCAAAATCTTGAAGCTGGTCTTAGGGAACAGAGTCAGTCAGTAATTGTTTGCTTGCAATCACAAGTACATAAGTTCAAGCCCTAGAACCCAGATAAAAATATGCCAGGTCTGGTGATAATACTTAGAATTCCTAAGGTGAACAAGTTGGAAACAAGGATCTCTGAGGCTCACAGGCCAGACAGTCTAGCCTAATCAGTGAGCTGCGACCATTTCTGAAAATAGGTGGACAGGCTTCCTGAGGATAACACCCATGGTGGTCCTGCAGCACATGCAGGCATCAGAAGTAATAAACAAGTTTAGTAGGGCCAGCAAGATGGTAAATGAATCTGATGGACTGCATTCAGTTCCTAGGACCCACATAGAAAGAGAAAACCGACACAAGTTATCCCCTGACTTCCTTCCACACACGTGCTGTGGCACACACAGGCAAGTATGCAAACACACATGTACACATAAATACATCAGTGTAAAGTCTGAGATCAGTCTGGATCACATAGTGAAACACGTTCCATCGAGCATTTGTCTAGTGTGTGTAAGGCCTGGTGGACCCTCATCACCATACAAATAGAAATGAAAACCAGATGGTGGAGTGACTGATGCCTATAGTTCATCCCTTCAGAGGTGAAGGCTTGGAGGTGCTTGAGGCCACCCTGGCCTTGTTTCCAAGGAAAATATAACTGAAAAATTATTCTACATTTATTTATTTTGTGTGTGAGCATACACATGCTGTGGTGTGCATCTTGAAATCAGAAGACACTCTGAGCCGTCTCACTTGTTCAAAAATAAAATGTGTTAAAAGACTTAGGGCCAGATTTGGTGGCTAATGCCTTTAATCCCAGCATTCAGGAAGCAGAGGCAGGTGGATCTCTGTGAGTTTGAGGCCAGCCTGGTCTACAGAATAAGGTTCAGGACAGCCAGAGCTACACAGAGAAACCCTGTCTCAAAAAAAAAAACAAAAATTTTTTTTTTCTCTTGAAGGGCTGGAGAGATGACTCAGTTGTTAAAAGCACTGACTGTGCTTACAAATGCCTCGGCTTCAATTCTCGGCACCCACGCAGTGCCTCCCAACTGTAGTTCCAGTTCTGGGGAATTCATACCCTCTTTTGACTTCTCAGGCACCAGACAGGCACATAGTGCATAGTTGTACATCAGGCAAAAACACACATGCATAAAATACTTTTTTAAATAATAGAATAAAAACAAACCCAGCAAAAGTTTATTGTGTTCATTAAATTCTTGCCAGCCACTGAAAATTATAATTTCCAAGCCATGAATCAGAATACTTAAAAAAAAAAAAAAAAAAAAAAAAAAAGGCTGGCTGGGTCAGTGGTAGAGCACTTGGCAGCATTCATGAAGCCCAGCACTCCTGATGGAGAGAAAGCAGCTAGGCACCACAGGCTCCTGTTTATAGCCCCTGCACTTCCAGAGGAGGCAGGAGTGTCTGACAGGTCTACCTAATGAGGCCTTGTCTCAGAACCCAAAATGAACAAGAGAAAACCATCAATTAGGCAGACAGCTGGTGTGGAACTGTAGTAGGGTACTTACCTGGTGGGCTAGGGGCCTGAGTTCCATCCACAGCTCTGACGACCAGGAATGGGATGAATAGGGTTTTGACTTTTTAACTTAAAGGAATGTGTGAGTGAAAGCAGGCATGAAGAATTCTTTTTTCTCTTCTCAGGTTAAAGAAGAAAGAGTTTAGTTTAGAAGAAATATATACAAACAAGAATTACAAGTCTCCTCCTGCAAACAGGTAACTCCTGGGGCTGGGCTAAGGGGTGGTGTTAGAATGGTTGATGCCTCTAACCTTTCTCACTTGGACGTTTCTATTCAGCTCTACCTGCTATTGGGTGGGATTTTGTTGTTCAGGTTTTTTTGTGAGGCAATCTCATTATGCAGGCTTGGCTAGCCTAAAATTCACAGATCTACCTGCCTCTTCCTCTGGACAGCTCTGGGATTAAAGGTGCCCCCATGTCCGGCCCAGTATTGGGCTTTAGAAATAGCTAGAATTGGAGTTTGGGTTCCAATTCCTTGAATCAGGGCCAGGGATTTGATAGAAAAGAAGTGTTTGTGGGATTTGGTAGTCATAGATGTCTGTTTACCTAGCACCTGTGTTGTGCTGAATACACTGGCTAGCTTTGTCTGGGCTGTTAATTACTGTTCCGACCATGATTTCAAACCCAAATACTTGGGCTTGTCACTTGGCCACCTTTGTGTCTAAATTCAATTCGAAGCAGTGACCGTTATTGACTGTATTGTCGGGGATAAAGGAAGAGAGTCCTGGTATTTTATCCCAGAATTTTGTGCTTGGGCTCTACCTAGAAGGCATTTTTATAGGAGATATTCATTGCAGCATTGCTAAGTAATAGGAAGGAATTGGAAACAACTGCAAGTGTCCTTTACTAGGGTTTTCATTTAACTTTGGTCCATTTTTATAATGAAATATAATGTATAGCTGTTGAAAATGAATCAGACAGTATTGTATTAAATGAAAACAAGCTTCGGGGTCTTTTATAGGTAACAGGAGCCCCACATGCAGGACAGTGTGTGTTGTTTGCTGCTATTGGAGATATGTACCATCGGTTAGCAAATTCTAGGCCTGCTCAAGGCTTGTCTGCAAACCCAGCAACCCTACTACAGCCTCCCTGGGAGTTGGGATTATAGACTTGCATCACCATACCTGACTTTCCTTTTGTTGTTGTTTGGTTGGTTTTGAGACAAGGTTGATCTATGTAGTCCCAGCCATCCTATAACTTGCTCTGTAGACCAGACTGGCCTCCAGCTCAGAGATTCGCCTGTCTCTGTCCCTCCTGAGTGCTCAGATTAAAGGTGTGTGCCTCCACAGCCCAGCCTAACTTTCCTTTTATTTTTTTAAAGACCATGCTGAAAGCTGGGTAGAGATGACACACACCTTTAATCTGAGGAGGCAGAGGCAGGTGCATCTTTGAGTTTGAGGCCAAACTGGTCTACAGAGTGAGTTCCAAGACAGCCAGGGCTACACAGAGAAACCCTATCCTTAAACTAAAAAGCAAAAACAAGACAAAAAGAACATGTTGGTATTGTAGCCCAGGCCCTCATGTGTGCTAGACAGTGCTCTATATCCTCAGGCACCAGTTTTCATTTGTTTTGTTTTATTTTTTTATTATTTTTATGGCTTGTGCACTAACAGCTTTGTTCACAAAAGGAAAACTCAAAACAAATGTGTGGTAGAGATCATATGGCTCACAGTTTAAAAGGTTTACTGTCTGGAGCATGGTATGGTAGATTAGTATGCCTATAATCAATACACTTGGGAGGCAGAAGTAAGGGGGTCAGCAGCTTAGGGTCATCTTTAGCTACATAGGGAGTTTGAGGCCAGCCTGGGCTGTGACAAAAGGTTTGCTGTTTGCCCAGTATGGACTACTGTGTTACTTAAATGTGTCTACATATTAACTTTGGAGAACATACACAAAACTAGCAGTTACCAGTATTATACATTTTGGAGTGAGAAACTACTCTTAATTTTGATGTATACCCTTCAGTTTGAACTTTTTTCACTTTGTGCACATATTTATAAAACGTGTGCTTTTTCCAGTGCATAGAAATAGCTGCTGGTCATAGGAAACAGTTGAGTTGGGAGTCAGTGCAGGCAGTTTTTGGCTGGTGTGGTGACCCAGACAGGCTCTATGATTCCACCTGTTAGTGATTCTGAGTTGTGCTCTGTCCTCAGGTGTTTAGAAACCATCTTTGAGGAACCCAAAGAACGAAATGGTACACTGATCTCTGTCAGCCAGCAGAAAAGGAAGCGTGTTCTGGAATTCCAGGATTTTACCGTCCCCCGAAAGAGACGAACTCGAGGTAAAGTGAAGCTGGGGGGCAGCTTCACGAGGGCCCAGAAGGCGGCTCTGCAGACTCAAGAACTGGATGCGCTTTTGATTCAGAAGCTGCTGGAACTGGAGACTTTCTTTGCCAAGGAGGAGGAGCAGGAGCAGTCTGTAAGCTGCTGAGAACACTTCAGGGTCTCCATTTTGAATCTTTTCAGACCTCCCTGGAAGAGGTTCCCTGATTTTACCCTGTGCCCAAACCACTCACAATGCCCAGTCCGTGAATTTTTACTTATTTCAAGGTGCAGCCTTTTTAGAAGCTGGTGAAGAAGGGTCCTCTAATTCTACTGCTGAGTATAGAGCCTCAGGAATGCTCCCTTCCTCCTGGGAATGGTCCTGAATGACATCAGGCCACTTCCTTCCCGTCTCTCCCATCACAGGTGGAAGTAGCCACACATCTTAAGCAACACTAGGAATCTAAGGACTCGGTGTTTGTGCATCCACATGAAAGTTCCTCTCTGTTTATGGTGCTGCTTGACCAAGACTTAGAAACGTGGCCTGGGGGGACACCTGGTCACCTGGCCTGTGTGTTCTCACCAGCCCTTTTCAGTGATCGAGAAGGATGAACTGGTGTGTTTCCTGATCTCTGATTCTGTCTGCCCAGGACCTCTAGTCTGAGAGAATGTGTGTGTGTGTGTTTGTGTGTGTTTGTGGCTTTTCCACATCTTTTCTCCCATCTGTGACTGAGGGTCACTAGTGCCAGAGGAGCCCGTCCAGGCCCCAACGTGAGTTGCACTTTTTTAATGTTGTGGTGTTATTTTCATTTTTTTCTTTTTTGTTTTTGTATTATTGCTGCATGTTTGGGGTCTTTAAATGTGATTTTCAAACACTTTGTAAGACATTAAGGAGAAAGACAATACATGTCTTAAGAGAATATGTGACAGGCATTTGATCCGCACATGGATGGGGAGGGGAGTGTTCCCATTCATGTGTTTCAGGCAGTCCCTCCCCGCCTCCAGCTTCTCATGTAGCTTATTAGAGGAAGCACTTTTTCATCCTCCTCCTCAGTCCTGCCCACTTCGTACACATGTCTGTTTAGATCTCTCTCATAACCGTTTTAAAAAAGATTAAGGTTGAGTGTGGTTTTCTCTGGAATGTTGATACATGACAAAGTTGGGAACAGTGTGATAGAGGCTGGCCCCGGGCATTTGCAGCTGCTTGAGTGCCTGCTTCAGGAGTGGGAGAGAGTTGATTGGTAGATGAGACCTAGTCATCCATTCCTCCATCAAGATCCCCAACCCCAGAGCAGCGCTCTCTGAGAGTGCCCCTGTGCTCTGGTCCTTTGTCAGACCTATTGCAATGGGGACATGCTAGAAGGAGCGCGGTTTCTAGGTTTGTGCCGAGGAGTCTGCAGGCAGTGGGCTGCCTTGTCTGTCTGAGCAGCAGCCCCACAGAGCTCATCTTCCCACTGTGCCTCCCCGTGCTCCATCCTCTCCTTGTCACATTTTCCACTCTCTCCCACCCTCTGCACCTCCCCCACAGTTCGCATCAGATAGTTAGCATTCCTTGGCGGACGAGTAAGAAAGATGCGCAGCCCAGCCCCTGGACACTGGTCGCCTCTTCAGCCTCCTGGTTGGTCCGGGGACGTTTCCCTGTCTGTCTGTAGAGAGGAGTGAGTGGTGCTGTGCTGGAAGGTTAGTCAGCCAACACGCCTCGGATTCTTTCACTCCCTGTTTGTCAGTGGCTAGGGAGGCGGGCTGCAGCTTTGAGGTCTTCATGTGCCTTTTCTTTGTAGGATGATACTGTGGCCCAGTAAAAGTCTGGGCCACACTGGAAGAGAAAAATAAATATGAGCAGAGGGAAAACATCCCATGACCTTCACCGCCTCAGCTGTTAAATAAGTTAACACACACCTGCTTGTCTGGAGGTTTTGAAGGTCATGACCCCGTAGGCTTAGAGAGTGCAGGCTAGCTTGCACACTGGTCCTCAGTGATGTGTGCAGACCCTCCTGTTTTGCCCATGTTGCCCAGACCATACAGATGGGACCTGTGTTGCCCTCAATACCTCTCCCTCCCTGAGGCAGGATTCTTAGATGCTCTGTGCTTCTCCACCTGTCGTGTTACTACTGCAGGGAATGGAATGAGTTACCCAGTGCCACAGGTACATCTAAGACTGTGCAGTAGACGCTTGTAGGCTAGGAGGCAGTGCACGAGCCATTCACCAGTTTCACCACCAGGGTCACTGGGGTGTCCGGATCACCCAGGAGACAGAAGGTGAGGTGTGCACAGCTGTGGCACCGGCAGCATGACAGACCTTCAGAATTTGCCCATGGCAAGTGTGTCATTGAAAGGCTGGGAGCACTGGCCGGGACAGTAGGCAGGACTGGAGACCCAGCTCCATCCTGTCCAGGAATGTAGGAGGGAAACTGCAGTTCTTGGCCTTTCCTTGACAAAGGCTCTTCCGCTTGAGAGACGTTGACTCACTGGGGCAGTCCATACTCAGCCGCATCTGTCTTCCCATCCATTCATATCAGTCAGCCAGCCTCAGGGGCACATCAGTGTCCTCAGAACCCGTGGCCTCTGGCTGTGATGGGAGATATTGGTGGTTGGCCTGTCGCCTGCCAGGACTACAACTCTGTTATGTCATGGAGTGGGTAAAGTTTCTGAGGATGGGAGTTCCCAGCTCGAGTGATGGAAGTCGCCGTTAAGCACAACTTGCTAGAGCTCACCTCCAGAAGTTAGGGTTGTGGGGAAAGAGGAGAGACCTCAGGCGCAGCCAGATTACCGCCCATTTCCTTTGCCATCTGTCAGTTTCCAGCTACAGCAGCCCCCTTCCCTCCCCTTAGTGCCTCTCTTCTCTTCCTCTCCCTGCTGTCCGGTCCAGCCTCTGCTGTCCGGTCCAGCCTTTTCTCTCATTCATCTAGATGTACCTCATCACCTGTTAAAGCAGATTGTGTCTGTCTTCCCGCTGCCCTCACCGGAAGAGCTGACTGAGAGGGGGTGCAGTGGAAGATCGGTAGCTTTTGCCTTACTTGAGCCTGAAGAGCTCAGAAACTCATGCTGTGAATCCTAAACTTTGTGCTCCTCCAAGAGCTGTGAAAATCATGACTTTTTTTTTCCATAATTTTGCCTGAAAGGGTCTTTTGTGAGGGCTCCAGAGCCAACCTGAGGTCAATTCTAGATCCCACTCTGTGGGCATCCTTCCCCTGGGGCATATCCCCTGCCCTCCAGACTAAGAACAGCAGCAAGTCTGCAGGACTGTGGCAGCAGGTCCAGGGCTGCGGTGCAGCCTAGTGGACACAGCCCTTGACCCCCAGGCTGCGGCTCCACCTCCTCTGTACCGTGTGCATTGAGATCTGTGCAAGACCAGCTTTTAGGTTGTGATACTTCCCTCCTGGACCCAAGAGGAGGGGGGTATGCAGTTGGTGCTGTCTTTAATCCCCTTGTTTTATTTCTATAACTTTTCCCCGGTATCATGAAAAGGGCCTTTTTAATGACCACATTATGGGCGGCTGTATCCAAAGCATAAGTAATTGGCCAGAGATGTGGAATGTCCTCACCTGGATTCCATCAGGAGAGGGCTGCTTTCCTGAACTGAGCTTCTGTATAGAACTGGCTAGGAAGGGAGCCTTAGTGTTGTTCAAATCTCAGTTAATATTCCCTTTTAGCGCACAGTGAGCAGCAAAAGCTACCTTGCTTGTAAAGCTGGGGTCCTCATAGCCACCGTCCAGCACAGTTGTGCTGAGATTTGAGGCCTGTTCTGTCTTTACAAGACCGTCTGTTGAATTGGATTTGAATTCCTAACAAGAGGCCCCCTTGAGCTGGGATCTGGGCCAGTAAGTTGCTGTCCCAAGTGTTCCTGTGTTATCATGGCTAATAGTTCAGTGAAATGTGTCCATCTTTGGTAATGTTGGTATACGTGATGCCCCTACAGTTCCTTTTCTGTTTGATAGTTTGTGACTCTAAATGCCCACTGTTACATGAATTAATTTATGAAAAATAAATTTTTCTTGAAAACCTTTCAGATAATTGTCAAGGCTATTTTGTTCTTAGGGCTTGGTAGTAGAGTCAAATTCTGTCAGTAATGACCCAAGGGTTAGGGTTGTTTTTTTTTTTTTTTTTAAGTTGACATTCCAGAGCCTTGTATCAAGCATTGTCCATCCCAGAATGGCCATCCTTTCTTAAAACCTGCCCCCGTTGGGCACATCTTTGGAGCTCCGCCTTTGGGTAGCCTCCAGAAGCAGTCAGTGGTGAGTCCTTTCCCAGAGAAACCGGTGTCTAGAAACAGTTTTTTGGAGCAGAGTCATATCCAGTTAAATTGAATCACTGATGAAGTATTTTGTTGTGATTTTTGTTTTTTGGCCTAGGAATATGTTATTTGAAACAGGATCTTACTGTGTAGCCTCACATAACCATAAGACTGAAAAAAATCTAAGGTCCATTTAGAGTTCTGTCCATCTTCTCATAGCCTAGGCTGGCCCTGCACTCATGATCTTCCTGCATCAGTCTATTGGGATTATGGGCAAACCGCAGGGCGCTAGGCGTGGTGATTCATGCCTGTAATCACAGAACTGGGGAGATTAAGGCAAGAGGATGGCCACAAGTTCAAGGCCAGCCTGGGCAATAGAGTGAGGCTCTATCTCAGAAAATAAAACTAAACTAGTTAGTAGTGCCTCTCACTTTCTCACATGACAGAGGAACCAGTGCACTTATAAACTCTCTGGTGAAAATGTTTCCTATGTTAGGACTGTATCTGAAGCAAGAGTATAAATCCAGTAGGCTCTGTTTAGTTTTGAGACCGTCTCATCTTCTACCCTGTCTTCCTATTAAATGGCTTGATCAGTTCCTGACAGTGTGGAGAAGGTATTAGCTTCCTGAGGGTGCGTCTCTTCTCCAGTGCCTTGCTTTCCTTTCCGGCTCTGGGCTAAGCAGCAAGGACCTCATCCATGCAGTGTTTTCTGCTGGGGAAGTGTCCTGTCCGATGGCTGTCTACCACATGTCAAAGAGCCCTCACCCACACAGCTAATTTTCAAGTAAGGCGTTGTTACTAGACACCTCACATCACAGGTTCTTGGCATTGGTGAGGCCGCCTGAGTGAGAGAGCTAATCCTGATGCAAGATCCCTCCAGATGAGTTCAGATGATGGACGACCCTCCTGAAGGGTAGAAAACTCGTTTTTACAGTTCTTGTGGAACTTCTTCCAAGAAGTGTTCTAGAAAAGTCCTAATTCTCCTCCAAGTTCTGGGGCTGGAGGTAAATTATTGTAGCATCTTTCTCGAGCCTCTGTGCCCCTCTGTCCTCAGCAACAGCTCCTCCTTTCTTCACCCCTCCTTAAAGTGATGGAGGCCATGTGAGCAGGCTCCAGCCTGGGCCCTGGGATTCCGGAGTGGACTAGACAGGCTCCCACCTTATCGCCATGCTGACTGCTCCTGTGTACCTCCCATTCCTGCATGCTTCCCTCCATCACTTCCTTCAGATCTTTGCATTCCCATATCATTGGTCTTGAAAGTGGTCCCCTCCCATTCGTAGGGGTACCCCTGCCCCTCAAGACTTTTTGTTGTGGCACCACCACCTTCCTGTCCGTGTTAATAACTGTAATATAAGCTCTTCAAGATCAGGGTCTTTTATTTTGTTAGCTCTAGTCCCTCCTGGCCTCTGGTACAGTGTTTGATATTTACGGCTGTTTACCGCCTAAACATCATTTTGGTCAATAAACTGCATATTACCATAAGATGGTAATGGAGCTGAAAAATTCCTGCGGCCTAGCAAGGTCACAGCTGTGATGGTGTAATGCAGTATATTACTCAGGTCTTGGTGTTGGTGCAGACAAGCCAGTGTATTGCCAGTCATGTAAAAATGTAGCACAATTATGTACAGTATATACTTGATAGTGCTAATAAATGGCTTACTGATCTGTGCAAGTTCTTATTGTATTTTAGAGTATACACTTGTTTTTATTTATCTATTTATTTATTGAGAGACAGTCTCACTATGTAGCCCTGGCTGGCCTGGAACTCTCTCTCACTATGTAGACCAGATTGGCCTTGAACTCAGATGTGTGAGTAAAAAAGCTTCCTGGACAACGGGCGGCAACCTCAGCATTCCACATTTGGTGTGTTGGGAGGCCACAGGCGGTCAGGAATATGGTTCAGTGGTAAGGCAGTTGCCTTGCATGTGTAGGGTAGTGTCTCAGGCTCCATCTCCAGTCCCACCTCCCTCCTGAAAGCAGCCACATTGAATGACAGACCTCTACCATCTAGGTTTGTGTAAATGTTCTGTTGGCATTCACAATGTGACATTCATTTGCACCAAGAATCCCCTAAACAACATCTAAGGACACATTTTCAGAATGTGTCCTTGTGTGACTGGGTGATGGCACCTCAGAAAAACTTCATGAATAGAAAGTGACTTTCCCATATATAGCTGCTGTGCAGACCAACCAAGTCCATTTCAATGGCTCTTTTCAATATTTAAAGACTACTTAATCTCTCCTCTCTCGTTCCTTGTCATGCCTCGAATGGCCTGTGCCGTAGCTGCTCAGGTTCTGATAACACACAGTATGTGGCTCTATGCAGTTCCAGGAGCAGACATGCACTGCTGGCCTGCGCCATCTGATTGGCTCTTTGGAGTGGCATCAAATTGGAGTCCCTACTTGGGTATCCTGTCAGTATGGTAAAGCTGGATACTTAACTTGTGTAGGAATCCTTATAAAGGTCTCTCTCTTCATCTCCACCGTGCCCCCCTCCCCTCAAGACAACACACACACTCATTTTTTTTTCCTGAGACATGGTCTCACTATATAGCCGAAGCTGGACTTGTACTCCCCATTCTCTTGCCTCAGCCACCTGAGTACTGAGATTTGCAAGTACATGTCACCATGCCCACCTTAAAAAAAAAATATTGCTTCCCCTTTTTAAAAAAAATTGAATGTTTTAAACTGTGTGTATGTATGTAGGGGAGTGGAAGGTGTATGCACACGAATGTAGGACCTGCAGACGCCAGAAGTACTGGACGGGAAGCTGGAGTTAGAGGTGAGCCACCTGACACAGGTGCTGGGAACTGAGCTCAGGTCCTCCAGAACCACTGAGCCATCTCTTTAGCCCCATCCCCAACCCGCACCTTTTTAAAAATGTGTTTATTTTTATTTTATGTATACGAGTGTTTTGCATGCATGTATGTAAGGGCACTGTGTGTGTGCCTGGTGCCTATGGAGGCCAGAAGAGGGTTCTAGGTCTCCTGGAACTGGAGTTACAGAAGGTTGTAGGCTGATGACTGGGTACAGGGACCTAAATCTGGATCCTCTGGAAGGAGCCACGAATACTCTGAACCACTGAGTCGTCTCTCCTCTCCAGCCTCTTTGAAACAGGGTCTCATAGCGGCAAGGACTTGGTGTGCTTGTGTGGAGGTCAGAGGACAACTTGGAGATGATGCTCTCCTTTCCCCATGTGCGTTCTGGAGATTGACCTTGAGTCTCTGAGTCTGACAGCAAGTACCTTCCTGCAGAGCCACTTTGCAGGCCCCACTTTTCTATTTCCTTAAAATGGGTTGGGGATGTAGTTCAGTTGGTAGAGTGCTTACCTAACAATCAAGAAGTCCTAGGTTTGAGCCCCACACAGGTGTACATACCTTTGGTCCCAGCACTGAAGAGGTGGAGGCAGGAGGATCAGGAGTTATACTCAGCTACATTGGGATTCAAGACTTGGCGTGGACTACATGAAGCTCTGCCTTTAAAAAAAAAAAAAAAAAATCAGAAGTTCAAGAAAAGCAGAGAGCAAATAACAAGCACCCACACTTCCACCATTTATAATTAATAAGAATTGAGGGGTGAGGATGTAGCTCAGTGGCAGAGTGTTTTTCTGGAATGCACCAGCCCTTGGGTTCAGTTCCCAGCAATACAAAAAACAAAAACAAGCCAGGCCGTGGTGGCGCATGCCTTTAGTCCCAGGACTCCGGAGGCAGAGCCAGGCAGATCTGTGTGAGTTCAAGGCCAGCCTGGGCTACAGAGCAAGATCCAGGACAGGCACCAAAACAACACAGAGAAACCCTGTCTCGAAAAAAACAAAAGAAAAAAAAACCCAAGCAAACAAAAACAAAACACTAAGGATTGGCATTGTCATACGATTCCATGACCAAACTCCTACTAGGCTGTCAGGCTTCAGCGTGTCTTTTTTTTCTTGGTTTTTTGAGACAGGGTTTCTCTGTGTAGTTTTGGTGCCTGTCCTGGAACTCACTCTGTAGACCAGGCTGGCCTCGAACTCACAGAGATCCGCCTGGCTCTTCCTCCCGAGTGCTGGGATTAAAGGTGTGTGCACCGCTGCCTGGCTCGGCAAGTCGTCTTTCCATACATTTGTTGTCCTTCAGTGCCCTCTCTGCGCTCTTCCTTTTCCTTTCTCCCTCCATCGCCCCATAAATAACCTACAATCCAAATACTGTGCTTGATATTTAACCTCTAGATCATTACTCTTTGTATCTTCATTGTTCTCTAAGGCAGGAAAAGCTCAGTGTCAGCCTATGGCCCAGGGGAAGTTGGCCAGACAGTTAAGAGGTGGAGCATAGAGGAAGAAGTCGGGTCGTGGTCACTGCTGCCATGCCCTTGAAAGGGGTATTAAGACAGGTCTTCCTGTGTCTCTTAGACTTCTCAGTCACCGTGAGTTCTACAGGCCTCTTCTGTCACATGTTGTCACCATGGTGTACTGCGCATGCCACCACAGGTTCAAAGCAATGGCCACCTTGAAACCTCCTCACGCCAAAGGAAGCCTTTCCGCTCACTGTCTTAGATGTTTTGTCTTGATGATGGGAAGGTGACAAACACAGCATTTTACTTTTGAGGTTTTTGTGGGTTAGAACACATCTGTCTGGTTTCTTTCACTGCTTTAGAGTAAGCCGTCCTAGAAATGTGATTGGAGGACCGGGGAGATGGCTCAGCAGGTAAAGTACTTGCAGGCAAGCATGAGTTCCTGAGTTCGGATCCCCAGCACTGAGCCAGGGGCTGCAGCATGAATCTGTCCCTTACCACTAGAGAAG